GAGAGCCCAATCTATATGTCTATCCATTTTTCACACGAACCAGTGGAAAACAAGATGACCACTTGCTTTTGTACATATGTACCTATGCCTGCTATCATTTCATACTCTGCTCAAGGTAATGCCCCAATTAAAAAACGTGTTTAGCATGTCCTTAAAAAAACGAAAGGTGAAAATGCACTGTTCACCTCTCCAGATCTAGGTTAGCATGTTCTTTGTCACTGTATCTATCAATCTCAGAAAAAAAATAAATTATATTCTCAATTATCTCATCTATTTGTAGTCATAAACATCACTGTACCAGCCCAGCTTCTTTTAATGAGGAGTAAAATGTGCTAAAGTCAGGGTCACACTCAAAAAGGCAAAATTAGGCACTATAATGCTCACAGTGTAAGATGAGATAGCCACGAGCATGTGCCTCTACCTGAATGGCTAAGGACAGACTTTCCCCAGTAAACAGGAGTTAATTCTGGCACAGAAACCATGCAGCAGTTTTCAGCTAAAAAAAAAGTGGCAGCTGTCCTGCCACTTACTATGCCCAGATTATTGAAACCTCCCATGTAGCATGGAATACATGCAAAGAAATTGGCACATATTTACACATGCTCTTAAACAGACTGAAGAGCCACATGAGCTAGTCATGACCAAAATGTGCTGGGATTTGCAAAAATCTATCATAACAACATTTCAAACACGTACAGAGCTATTGTTCAGAAAACAGCAGTTGATACAGGTTTCATACCAAGCCTTCTAAACTTCTGACATTCCTCATCTCTCCATTCCCCTTACTGGATGCTTAAAATATGCTACTGCAACGAGTGCTGCACCGCTACACGAACTGTTCAGTATTGCCATGCCTTCAGCAGTGCAGTCAAAAATATGCCATAACAGTTATGCCAAAATTAGCATTTAGGCACCCAAGGGCTCCCAGTACCTGGTGGGTTTTTTTTGTTTGTTTGCTTATGGGCAAGGGCTTTTTAATGCCAAAACCACCTAAATGCTTGGCTTACACAAAAGAGGAATGAGGTTCCAAGAATGAACCTATCTAATCTCTCCCTTCCTTCCTTCCTTCCATGAGATGCTTTGTAAAAAGTGTTGTTGAAGTGCACATGTAGAAAGAATAATCTCTTGGGCCTCTTTAGGTCAAAGCCAACCCCTTGAATTATTGCACTTGGAACTTAATGGGCAGCCTGGTAGGACCAGAGAATGATCAGGTGTGACCCTGCTGAGGGATCACCAACTCTGGCATTAATTACCACTCTCTCAGACCTATTAGCATATCTTCATGCCTTAAACTTCCCTTCCATTGTCGTTAATTCAGATGAAGTATAACTGCTTACGTCACCAGGTAACAGCTGGAAGTCCCAATGATAGAGACAGAAGATGCACCAAGGACCTGCTCCTCGGGCTGGTGAGCAAGCAGAATAGCTGGGTGGGATCTGCAGGTGGACGGTCAGGAACCGCACCAGTCACAAAAGCATATGTAACCAGTGGTAGAGGTCACAAGAAAGCTGCGAATCTGGGGAGAGCAAGAGTTGCAAGTGCAGATGAAAAAAAAAAAGATGGCTGAGCAGATGGGCTGCAGGGGGTATTGCAAACGAAGTGTGACTCCCATCAGCTAGGAACAAGAAAATTAAACCAAACCCGACAGAACATACCCTTTTCACCACAACAGTGACAGGGAAAGTCATCTGGTCTTAGTCATTTCCTTTTTTATCCAGAATTTCTGAGTGGATAAGTCATGCCTGAGGATTAAACACCACATATCTGTTTTTTAAGAGAGAGTGTTTATTATTCCCCCATTCTTTTTAATCATGAAGGCTTACCCATCTTTCACAGTGGATGTTTCAATAGTGTTTTCCATAAGAAGATGCTAATTTTTAGTATTTTTATTAGCATACAGGCATTGTAATGTTGGGCTTGAGATCCTACTGGTCTTCCTGCTGTACAAACAAAAAGGGAAAAGACAGGAGTCCATGTCTCCAACAAACTGTGATTTAGGTATACCAAGAACCACCAATCACAGCAAGAAAAAATGACAGGCTCAAGAGTGGTCAGAAGACACTGGCCATTTAACTTGTAGTCCTGCTTTTAGTGGTACCGCACCAAAGAAAAAACCTGTAAGGAAGGATTTGAGGATTAATAAAAATTGAGTCCTTTATGCTTATGGGGGATTGCCCCCACAGTAGGGACAATACAGAAGGGAGCTAGGAGGTGCTCTTCTTGCAACCGGCACAATGCAGGCTGGCGTCACGGACTTAGATAGGGAAATTCACTTCGACACTGAATAAGGGTCCTGGTTTTGGCTGAGATAAAGTTAATTTTCTTTCTAGTAGCTGGTATAGTGCTGTGTTTTGGATTTAGTATGAGAATCACGTTGATAACACACTGGTGGTTTTGGTTGTTGCTAGGTAGGTGTAGTGTCCACACTAAGTCAAGGACTTTTCAGCTTCTCACGCCCTGCCAGGTGCACAAGAAGCTGGGAGAGCACAGCCAGGACAGCTGACCCAGGCTGGCCAAAGGGATGTTCCCTACCATATGACATCATGCTCCGGATATAACTGGATAAGCTAGCCCAGAGGCAGATTTGTTACTCTAAACCAGACTGGGCATCAGAGATTGGGTTGGGGTTTTTTTTGCCTTTTGCATGTAGTGAGCAATTGCATTTATGCATCACTTGTATTGTTATTACTATTATTATTCTCTTCTTTTGTTATCCTATTAAACTGTCTCTCTCAGATAAAGATCTCACATGCTGAAGACACTAAAAAGCCAAAGATGACTTCAGGTGAGGAGATCATGGACGAATGCACTACCTGTAAGGATGAAAAAGAAAACAAAATATCTTCACTTTATTATGCACAGTATGCAGGATTTTGATTTAACTAGAATATTAGGTTGTAGAAAAGTCAGACAGTGCCAAACTTATGAGGCTGAATGACTGGAAATGTAGAGGTTTTATTCCCAGTGGCAAAAACAGGAGGGGGAAAAAACCTTAGAGAAAAAGGTTGAGAGTCATGACTCAGCCCTCAGCTCCACTGCTGAGTCTGACTAGAGTTTGGACAGAAAGAGGGAGGTCATTTTTGGGATGCAACAAGGATGCAGGAGTGGGATTTGCAATCATGGACCAAAAGAGAACCACCAAAGCAGGGGCAGAAAGTTCTCAAATGTGCTCTTATACTTAGAAATGAAACTTTGGTTGTGAAAAATAAGTTTGAATATTTTTTAAAGATAATTGCATGGCCTTACTGTTTCCCATTGCCCTGGAGGAGATTCTGCCTTTCACAAAATTGAGCATGACAGCAGTGGTTTTCTGTTACATATTCCATGTTTTGCTCCCAGTGAGACCGTGGCGAACTATGGGCACTGTGCAGTAGTATCTGGCTTATCGATGCTCTCTCAGAGGAGACAGCCAGCTCCCCCAGCTCCAGGCAAACAGCAGCAGTACCACAGCCCATGGTTGAAATGAGGGATTCTGTTGATTCTTTGAGCGTAGAGAAGAGATCAAGCTGCTCACACCTTGGGTTTCCCTCCTCAAGTTTGATGGCATCCAGTGTGACAGATACTTGACAGAAACACTTATAACTGCAAAGCTATAAGGTTACCAAAGCCTGACATAATGAAAGAATATATTGCAAGGGAACAGGACAATTAAAAAGGAGAAAAACAACTGCATCTTCTCAAGAGCTCATTATATCCAAAATGCTTGACCCTCCAGTTCATGACACATTTTGTAGTGTGAAATTTAAAAATGCAAATCACAAACAGTTGGACACCTTCCTTTAACTTGTCGTCATCGTACACAAACAACACAGGGAAGAAACATATGCGCTGGGTTCAAACCAAGACCCTGGAAAATAAAGAGCTTTAGCTACCAAAAAGAAAACATTTTCAAAGTACATACTGCCCTCTTGTGTACAACTCAGTATTACCTCCAACAGTTACAACCTATTTCAAAAATTCAGAGTAATGTGGGGCCGTGGGGCCTCAGATAATGGAGGAAGAGGGAGAAAATCCCGGCACTAGGGAAGAAAGCAAAGAGACAGCCCAGGCCAGGACTGGTCCTGCTGGTAATAAGCAGATGCTAATCATTGCCACTGGTCTCCAACCATCTTTTATGAAGATCATACTGGCTCCCTAGCACCAAAAGCCAGGAGAGCTTATTAATTTGGGAGGTTCTGCAGCCCTCCTCATCACAGGGAAATAGCAAAGCACCCCCAAGCTGGCTCTGCACCCCTGCCACAATCAGTCCGTAAGCAAAATAAACCGTGCAAGACAATAGAGATTGTCCACAAATGACTGATTGCTTTAACCAGCTATGGTTTCTTCCACTTAAAGTTTCTTTCGAACAAGATGAGTTTGACGCAGTTTTACCTGTGCAGAGATAGTATTCCTTGCTGGAATACTTTTTGACACCCTCTTCAACAGTTCTGTTTTGGGGGGTTTTATTTGTTTGGGTTTTTTTTGGAAAAAAATTAATTAACTGGATTAAAAGAACTGAATTGTGAAAAATGAATTGGGTTTCTCTCTTTAACAATATTAAGCTGTGCAGAAATACTACTGCATTACTATACAATCACTTCTCAGTGTAATAAAAGTTTTACTCACCACTAAATGCTTCTCCTTTGTTTATTTCAGCTTGCCCTTTTAAGAAAAGCAGGTCCTTGAGCAAATTCAGAGCCATGGTGAAAGACTCACTTGGTACGCAATCTGTTTCCCACTGCAAGTCACATTTGCACTTGCCGAATCCAAACATTAAATTGAAAAAAATATATTTAAGATCATAATGAAATTGATTTAAAAATAAGACTTATCTGTCTTCTATGCATACTACAGCTTCGTAACACAAATGTAAAAAATATTCTAAATTTTTCAGATAAACTTAGTTATTATTTGCAAAAATATAGCATAATTTAAATGCTAAGTAATAAAACCTTGAGGAGTTAAGCAGGTATCAGTTGCTAAATTCTGACACTGTTTACATTGCACACTCAAGAACAGCATTATTGCTGAAATAGATTCTTTATTTCTGAAACATTCCAAAACAGCAGTATACACAGTTGTAATCAAATATTAAGTCATGTGCCATTATAAGAAAGCATTGATTAGTGCAATTGGATTTTGTAAAAGATCTATCAAAAAAGATTTATTCGCATTAAAACTCATTTTCCATAAGCAACTGTTAATAAAACATTACAATTTTATTCTTTGTAATAAAGTACTGAAAACCAACTGTAGTTTTAGAGATCACTGTATCTTTGTAAGTGCAATGTGACTTATGCTGCCTTTTTAAATACAAACCACTATGACAATAAATTAACAATTGAACAAATGGTGAAAGACCAACAAACCATGCTGACCCAGCTGGATGGCAATTTCCAGTGAATGCTACTTTTTTGTGCTTCTGCAACATAAATATACTGCTTTGTATTGCCAATGGTATGATTTTGTAAGATATGTTCCTAGTGCTAAAAAAAGTACATTACCCCAAAAATATTATTTATGGCACAGAAAAGTTAAATTATCTCTCTGTTGTTCAAGGTTCAGGCAAATTTAAATGAACTTAAGTATACAAAATAAAATGTACTGGAAACACTAGAAAAAAAACCTCAAGCACATACATAAGTCCCCCCCAAATTCAAAGTAAAATGCATGATGCCTTTACACTGAATAAATTACTTCAGAATTTCAGTATGGCAAAGCTGCCTGAAAAGCATTATCTCCTAGTTCTTTCCAAGGAAATATTCTGGTACTTCGCACATATATAGTATTTCCTTCAGTTCCAAATGCCAGCGCTGCCATTGTTAGTCTGATAACAACGCAGCTGTTTCAGGTAACTGATTAAGTGCAGTATTTAGTACTTGATAAGATGTTCATTTTTTAAAAATGACATTGCATTGTGGATGGTTACATATTAAAATCCCGGGGGAAATAATACTGTATGACCCTCCTTTCCCAAATCATTGTTACCCAGCCAGCTGGGTAATGAAATCCGCATTATTTATTTTCCACTGTTGATGGGCATCCCTCATCAATAGCAGCCGTCTCTCCAGTTCCCATCCCGCATCGTGCTGAGTGACGAAAGTGGCTTTGGAGGTTGAAGAAAACTGTATTAAATGAATGACAAAAAAAGACAAAGGAAGTCATATTTCCTGTGAAAAATCAAGGTAACAAACATCGTTTACTTCTGCAGTGACACTGGCTTTACGGCTTGCTTGGGGACATCACTCGTGTATTTCTGGCTCCACGCTAATGCAAATCTAAAGACCTATGGTGAAATTAAGGCCATTTCCAGTGAGACCCTGTTAATGGTCTTAACAGGGTAAAATGTTTGTAAAAAGGAATTTAGTGAGTAGTTGTCATGATGCATGAGACCCCTCTAAATGTGAAGATATGTTCTTCAGGGCTAAAGGAGGTAAAACTATTTTTGTCACTACAGACAGCAGACATGTTCCAATACAGATGGACAGCAGAGATCTAATGGGATGCATTCTCAAAAAGTTGTAGTGCTCAGCATACGTGTCAAAAATCAGCACTTCAGAAAAACACTACGCACTAACACCAAAGAATTTTGGTACCTTATCGGTTGAAGAACTCTGGTAAGTCCTGCTCCAGACCCTCTTATTGCATCTCACTAATGAATGAGGACTTATCAAAAAATGCTTGTTAACGATCCTCCAAACCCTCCAGGTACTATCAAGGTAACTGTTTCAAATAAGATTAAAAAAAGGAAAACCCACCATCTGATTTCATCTGACTGTCAACTCATGACAAGGCAGGGTATCTCTGATTTGCTGCAACCATATTTTACTTACACCACAATTTGCTGAAAATAAAGTGTCACAATTCTGTGTAACTGTTTCTTACAAAAACAGGTCTTAAGCCTTGGTCTTCTACTTGACTGTTTTTCCTTTAGCTGTAACTGCTGTGAGTTCCTGATGCCTCCTCTCCCTTCCAAATACCCTTGCCTGGAAAAAGGCAGAGGTATGTTGTAAGGCAGGCAGAGTCAGTAAGTTAAAAGCAGTCACCAGAGCAGCTTCTCACCTCTCTGCTACAATTGTTTTTTTAGTGGCAAAAAAAATTGCACCTAGGTGAAAAAGGTGGTTAAACTTAGGTTCAGCCAAGCTGCTTTTATGCAGCTCCACTTTGCTGCAGCATCAATTATCTTTGATATAAATTCAGTTACTTGAGGCATAAAACATGACCTGTCTGCCTTTTTTGCAATTGCTGCTTTCATTTCTTTTTTTCTCCTGAAATTAAAAAAAGGAAAGCATGTTTAAGAATGTTCAAGAAATAACAGAGAACACAAAAGCAAGGAAAAAATAACTAGGTTGAAAATAACTAAGAACACTGCTCCATATCCAGAGATGAATCCTGCTACAGGGTGGTGAACAGGAAAATGTGCCAGTGTTGAAAATCGTTTCAAACAAGCCCCAGTTGTCAGTATGATGCCACATGGCTTGAGATAAGAGAGTTTTGAAGGGTCTGTAGTCCCTTTCTATTTTCCCATCCCCAGCTGGATCGCAGCGACTGGCTCCAGTGCAAGGCAGCAGGAACAAGGAAGCCTCGCACCTCGGCTCCGGAGCTGTGCTTACGGTGCTGCCATGCCTGTGCCTGGTACCTGGGGTGATCCAAACCCTGACCTGCTGATTGACTTCCTGGCTTTAGCTGGGACCTGCCTCATCACTGTGGGGACTTGCCTGGAGATTGGGACTGCTGGCTGACCCTGGTCTCCATCGATGCTGCTCTTGGTTGGGTACTGCCAACTTGGTTGGGTACTGGCTGGTGGGGCAGTCTGGCTGTCCCACTTGGTTCCTGGCTCACCTTCACCTACAGGAAGCTGCTCCTGCTGCCCCTCACACCATGCTCCCAGGTGAGGATAGAAAGTGGAGGACTAGGGGATGGGAGGTGAGAAGGTAAGTCTGCAAGAAACCCAGAGTGTGGAGTTGGAAAGGGCTGGGGGCTGTGAGGATCCATTCAACAGGAACAAAAACAAAAACAAAGTGCTGCCTCACTCTTAAGGCTAAGTAGAGATGGACTGCACTGTTAAAATTTCTTTGCATTGCTTTTGGATGCATGAATCTCTGATGCCAGGGAGAAAAGCAGTTAATACTTAGCCAAGCTGGTTATCTTGGCTATTATAATTTTATTTTACAAATTATCAAATGCACTCCCTCGTGTGCTTGATCTTATGCAGTAAATATTGAAGTTCCCTAATGCAGGGCCTATATAAAGTTTCTAACAACCTATTTTAAGTATCCAAAATACCAATAACTTGGCTACTTAACAGTCTGGCCATAGGCTTGAAGACACAGCTTTGCTCTAAATTTGCACTTCTCCCTGACCGTCTAATTGATTAAAAAGAAAACAAAAAACACGAAAGACCTTTTCTACTTTTATTCAAGTTATGGCTAAAACCACTTTAATTTTCACTATACTATTAGAAGCTAGACTCTTCAACTGATAATCAGAACTACCATTCCTTGGAAATGACCACAGCAACAAAAATCAACAGTGAAAAAATGTGCTGCTGATGGCTGAATTCTTTCCAAGAAAATTCCATATGAATTGAAACCGCCCTTATTCTCCACATGAATAAATAAGATGAAATGAGGGTCTTAAAGCAGTGTAAGCTGAGCTCCAATCTGCCTGTGCTTTTAGAGTCCTATAAACCTGTCATTCCCACAGTGCAAAGAGTGTCTGTCTTCAAGGATCATTGGTCTGGCTCTATGGCAGCATATGATGCTGCTGAGGTACATCTGAAGGTGAGAAGACAGGAGCCCAGACCTTCTGGACTATAAATAGCTTTGTTACTGATTTGAATCAGTTTATAATAAAAACAGTGTTGAGAGTATAGTGTGTCACCCTCCCACTGAAACCTCTTAATTTTGTTTTTCTTTAATATTGTCTGATGTATGCAAAGTTACAAAATAGCAAGGGATTGGTTTTCATGGCCCAGAAAGTCTCTGTCTTCCTCACATGTTGCTATGAAAGATTTAAGAGCTCTGCAAAAAAAACATGAAGTTGAGTAAAGGAAAAAGAAAAAAAAAAAGAAATAAACCCCTCTACTCTAAAGAACTCTAACAGAGAGAGTTCCAGCAGAGAGCAAAGGAGGTTATAATAGAAATCTCATGGTATGGTCTTCATCAAAGAAGAAACCTGACAGCTCTTTATCAAAGTTTCACCGCGGTTGGTCAAAATCTGTTGTCAGCCACATCAGTGTAATCCCCAAGTAACCCAATGTCCTGGTTCTGGCAAGGATAGAGTTAATTTCACAAGGAGCCAGGACAGGTGAGCCAAGCTGGCGGGGGGGCTATTCCATACCATGTGATGTCATGCTCACCACAAAAGGGTGCTAGTCGGGTAGGGGTGGGGCGGTGCAGTTTCGGCAGGGTTTCGGCAGGACGGGCTGAGTGTCTGGTCGGTCAGTCGTTGGTTCGGTAAATTGTTCTCTATTATCACCCATTGTTACTATCTGTTATCAGCACTGTTGTTGATTGTTTTTCCCTCTCCCTTGCTGTCCCAGTAGACTGCCCTTACCCCAACCCTCGAGGCTTTGCCGTTGTTTTTCGGTTCTCCTCCCCATCCCACTGGGGAAGGAATGAGTGAGTGGCCATGTGGCGCTCAGCTGCCAGCTGGGCCTAAACCACGTCACTCAACCAAAGACAGAATGTCAGCAATTGACCTTATTCTGGATCTAGCCTGTATCTTGTGAAAAGCATAAAAATGGTGAGAGCTGAACAGTGACAGTTCGTCCAACAGAAAACCAAGTGGTCACGCAGCAGGCCCTCACAAGAGGAGGGATGCGTGCGATGAGAAGAAATAGTTGGAAGAGTTGACACAAGTTGATAGAAGTTTCTCTTTGAGAAACTTCATCAGCAGCAGGCCCTCACAAGAGGAGGGATGCGTGCGATGAGAAGAAATAGTTGGAAGAGTTGACACAAGTTGATAGGTGACTTCATCACCTATTAATCAAAGAACATACAGAGTTTAACTCCCAGCTGTGATAAGGTGATTAAAATACAGTCTCTTTCTTCAAGGTTATTTTATTGCTTGCCCTAAAGAAAAAAATCATTTGGAGACAAAATTCTCTTAGAAAAATACAAAAATGCATTTGCTTAACAGTATGGCTCATTGCAAGTGCGTGATACTTCAGGATTCCCTGTTTGCCTATTGTCTCCCAGCTGGAATTGAAAAGACGCTGGTTCAACCCAAGACTGTACTATCCAGGATATTTCCTTCCTCACAATGCCATAATGTCACAAGTTGCATTTTTATAGTCTACTGCCTTTTACAGCAACAGGGATGCAACCCTTTATATTTGGGTACTCTAAAATTTGCTCATCCCATGAGTTGAAACAGCAGTCGGCACAAGTCTCAAGAAGGCAAGTCACATGTCAATGATATGAGATTTCCATTTGTTTTGATTTCTTATTGATGACAATCCATACGTATTTTATGTGATTGCATTCTATCAATTACTACAGTTTAGTAGGAACTACCAGCAGGCATTGTCCATCACTATTTCTGGAGAGAAATCTTCACCCATTCAGTGACTTTACTGTGTCCAGTTCTGGGCTCCCCAGTTCAAGAAAGACAGGGAACTACTGGAGAGAGTCCAACAGAGGACTACAAAGATGATGAGGGGACTAGAGCATCTCTTGTATGAGGAAAGGCTGAGAGAGCTGGGGCTGTTTAGTCTGGAGAAGAGAAGACTGAGAGGGGATCTCATCAACACTGATAAATACCTGAAGGGCGTATGTCTAGAGGAGGGGGCCAGACTCTTTTCAGTGGTGCCCAGCAACAGGGCAAGGGGCAACAGGCATAAACCAGAACACAGGTAGTTCCATCTGAATACAAAGAAAAAGTTCTTCACTCAGAGTGACCAAGCACTGGCACAGGCTGCCCAGAGAGGTTGTGTAGTCTCCTTCTCTGGAGATATTCAAAACCCACCTGGATGCGATGCTGTGCAATCTGCTCTAGGTGATCCTGCTCTAGCAGGAGGGTTGGACTAGATGATCTCCAGAGGTCCCTTCCAATCCCTACCATTCTGTGATTCTGTGACTCAGCACTGGAAGGTAGAAATGCTTCTCTTTTTTATAGCCCAGCCTCACATTCAAGAGAAGAAAAAACTGCGACAAACAAACCCACAATCTAAGTCAAAGCCATCCACGTAAGGAAGGAGGCATGTTTAACTCTTACCTTCGAACTGGCTGTGCAATTTTACTTCTGGGTATGCCACTCCCATTGACGGGCAGCGATGGTCTTGGAAGAGCACTGCGCCCTACAATCCCTTGACTGGCAGTCTTGTTTGGCATTGGGATCCCAGTGTTAGAATATAACTGCAAGTTGTTGACCGGAATACTGCTGCTACTACTACTACTACCACCACCACCTTGTACAGTTGGGCTTACGTAGGCAGTAGCTTTGAGAGGCTGTCTGACAGACACTGGAAAATGTCCCACACTGTGAACTCTGTGTTGAAGCTGTCCTGGTGATGGAACTGCAAAGAGCGGTAAGAAAAGGAAGTAACAAGGTCAGTATGCAACAGATGAGGCCAGGCAGTAATGCACATTTCTAGATAGATCTGAATAGGGATAAACACATCATTGTGCAATTCACTCGCTAATTATAAACTGCTGGAAAACTCCTTGGATCCAATCCTGCATCCAGCAACACTGCACTGAACTAAACTATGTTGTTCCATCCTCACCCTGAACAAAAATCCCACCACATACTCATCCTTCTTTCTCCCCTCAAAGAGGTTTCATTAGCCATTACAAGCAAACTAATCCCACCTATGCAATTAGAGCTTTAAACAGGAGAAATTGCTGAAGCTATAAATTAATTACTGTTAGATCATTTAGGTTTTTGTAAGGTTGCTTGCAATAACCACATCTTGTTTAAGGAACATTGTATTAAACATTCACAGAACATTTATTAAACATCATTATTAACATTGTATTAAACGATGTATTACATTGTATTAATGATGTAAACATCATTATTAACATTGTATTAAACATCACAGAAGTCTAAGCTTTATGTACGAAAACAATAAACCGGCTATAAATAGGTCTTGAATATAACAGCATATTCCAAGGCTGATGTTATGTAAACTATCATTTAAAACCAATGCTACGGGTTTCAGAAGCTTTATATATTGATTTTCTACACAATCCTGCCCTCTGGTGTACATCAGACACCTGCTTCAAAGTCCACATATCAAAAGCAAACTGTCAAAAGCCTGAAGCACATAAACTAACATACTGCACACAGGTCAATTCTTATTTTGAACACATTTGAAAAGGGACATCTCAAATCCCTTTAAAGACACAGGAGCAAATACAGATGTGTGATTCAATGAAATAATACTGGCAATATATTGCTATGAAACTCTTATTAAAAAGTTATTTAAGAAAAATATAAATAAAAACTAA